AAAAAAAAATATAAAATAAGTACAAAAATAATTATAAATATTAAAGATTATTTTCTGTGTACCCAACACAGGGGTTTATATAATTTTTGTACCACCACAAAAGGGAAACAAAACTTGGGTGGGGAAACTTACGCCCCCCTCCCCCCCCCCCCCCTCCCCCCAGGCAACTAGAAAAGGTCAACAGTGACAAATACCTCAAGAGCTACTTTTTGTTCGAAAAATTACGGTTTCTTATTCTGGATACCCAGTTTGAATTTTTCAACAATAATACCACCGGTAAGATCATAATTTTATCTTGTCAAAAACCTGGATTCGGTTGTTGTTAAAATCACATACAACTATCCTTCCATCACTAAGATTTGCTGTTGACACTGGACACTTAAACTCTCCTCTCCCACTACCTTCACTTCCAAACTTTGTGACAAACTTTCCACTCAGTTCAAATACCTGCACTCTGTGATTTTTTGAATCACAGACCATTAGCAATCCTTCTTTGTTAACTGACAAGTAACGGGGCTCATTGAATTCTCCATCCTTGTTTCCCTGTTTTCCAAATTTAGAAATAAATTTCCCCTCAAGATTAAACATTTTAATAGAATGATCACCACCGTCTGAGGCTATAAAATATTGACCGTGTTGGATACAGTGATAGGGAGCGACCAATGAACCTGCTCCACCAACCTTATGTAAATACTCCCCACTAGAAGAGAATATATTGATTAATTTGTTACAGGTATCAGCAACAATAATATCACCGTTGCCGTTTATTGATAAACCTTCAGGGTATTTAAGCTGACTATCACGACTTCCATATTTACCAAACTTTCTAAGAAATTTACCATTTCCATCAAAGACTTCACCCTGTGATTCCACCTGTCTGCCACTACAATATTGCCATGACTATCAAAAGCGATCCCTGTAGAATTGCAGAACTCGCCATTATTCTTACCCTTCCTACCAAACGATCTTAAGTGGGTGCCGTCACTACTAAACACTGAAACCCTGTAGTTACCCCACTCAGTCACAGCAATTTCATCATGATCATTCACTGCCACCCCGCAGGGCCAGGCAAGCATTCCAACAGACTTACCTTGTTGTCCAAATGACAGCACAGATCTGAAACGCCTGGTTTGTACCCGAGTCTCAAGAGGCCGGTATCGAACATTTACCCCTTTATTCCCAGCAATTACTTTACTACTTTCTTTACCTTTAGCTCCTGATTGTTGCGCTTTAGTTTCGCTAAAAACAAATTCTACATTACCTATCCCCTCGCTCATACTCAACAGGTTAATCAGTTTTTCACTTTTAGTAAAACTAAACCCAGGAATACATTCAGTGTCGCGGTTTTCTTGGGTGCTCTGGTCCCTCAGGATTGTATCAAATGTTTCACTGAATCCCAGGATTTCAGTAGTAAAGCTTTGTTTCAACAGAGTTTCAGTCCTTTCAATTGTTGATTTAATTAGTTTCACTTGTTTTTTCACTTCGTCTCTTTTCTGTGAGAGAGATTCCAGTGATTCTGTCGCTTGATTATCGACTGCATCAAAAACGTCTCGTTTTCTCGCTTCGATGATTGCAATAATTTGGTCTACGCAAGACTGCACTTGGCTTTTTACCTCGTCTACTTTCGATTGCAAAGCGATGCTTTTTTGGTTGAATTGTTCGACTTCCTTTTGTTTTTCCAGTAAACACAGCTCAGAATTTGATTCTGCACGGCGAGCTACTTTATCAGGTGACACATAGCTGTCTGTGTGTGATTGTGAAAGCAAACTAACAGCTCCTTAAAGTGGACATCTGAAGTTGTCCCCTCCCCTTACTTTCTAAAAGGCGGAGGCTTCTCTCGGGCGACAGTAATAAACGGTCCAACGGTCGTCTCAAAGAATTGAAATTTAATTAGGGGAAGGAAGGGTGGGCTTAATCGAGATGGGGGAAGATTATTAACTTTCTTCCCCTGAAAAGGTTGAGCTTACTAGAGGGAGAGGGCTTATTAGAGAGGGGGGACTTAACAGAGGATTTAGGGTAAGATGAGGAGGAGAAGAGAGAACAGTTATCTGCTCTCGTGTCCTTTCTCTCCCCTCCCCTTCATGCGCTTGCTAGCTACGCTGGCTACACTTGCATACAGCTTGTAGTTAAACTGAAGAGTTTATGGTAGATTTAACAGACATCTACCTTAATTAAACGAAAAGATTATCTCAGCCTGTAGAGCGTTTGACTACAGGAGCGGAAAGTCACGGAACCTGACTAATACTGAGGGTCTTAAAATAACTAAGGAACTGAGTCAAACCCCGTCACTACAGACACGGAGGGGGGCATAGAAAGTGTCCGTATTGAGGGGGTTGAATCAACAGAAAATGTAAGGGCCTTTTTCCCCAGGGACAAATATGCGGTGTCTGTATTAAGTAGGTGTCAATAAAAGGGGTTCGCTGTGCTGTCTTGTCCTGCAAACTGCTCAGAATACCTACACGTGACTCGGATGATCATTGGACATAGAAATGATGGTCCATTCTCTGAGTAGAGACGTAAAAATAGTGTCCTTGACAATTAGACTCGCATGCTAAATACATTTACACTTGACTGAAGTAAATCGGTACGTTTAACTTCAACACATGACGGTCTCTTTGACAACGATAAATTTGAACGAAAAAGACATTCTTTACATTTGAATATCCTTTAATGCTTTTTCAACAAATCGTAATACAGTTAAGTTAACATATGTTGTAACTAACAGACCTGAAGAACCTTTTGAGAAAAAAATTGGTACTTGTGCTAGGGCTCGGGAATAATATCTCCAAAAATAAACTTGCTAACAACTATCAACTGCTGGAAAGAAAATGAAAGGGTGTACAACGTAAAAAACAATTTTGACTTCTCAAAAAAATTGAACACCTTATTAAACTACAATCGGCAATTAGATGAGAGTACAGTACATTTGAAAAAAGATTACAAAATATATTTACAATTTGAATGTCATTTCTGCTATTACCACAGCCAGGAGTTTATAATTTATTGTTACATTCACAGAAGGGACAAACTACTTGTGAGGGCAAACTAATGCCCCCTCCCACCCCCCCCCCCCCCACACCACCCAGCAACAACCACACACCGCACACACCCCAACACCCCTCTATATTTGAAACACAACCACACGTTCCTTCTATTACCCTAGT